TCAGCCTTCCAAGTAGCTGGAACTACAGGCACATGCTACCACACCTGGCTAATTTTTTAATTTTATTGTAGAGATGAGGTCTCGTCAAGTTGCCCAGGCGGGTCTCAAACCTGCGGGCTCAGGCAATCCATTCACCTTAGCCTCCCAAAGGTGTGGGATTACAGGCTGAGCCACCGAGCCTGGCTCATTATAACTTTTTTTTAGCAAAAACACGAAAAACACACAAATGTCTAATACTATATTGGATTACAATTAGGCCAATAAAAATTGTCTTTTTGAGGAATGGGGAAAAAAACAAGTTAAAATATCTACAAAGAGTTTTTAATGACATAGAAATCGTTCTGCTAATGATTTTAAAGGAAAAAAATATAGGATTCAAATATACACATCTTTACCTTGCACAACATAGCGAGACTTCATCCCTACAAAACAAAAAACAAAAAATTAGCCAGGCTTGGCGGTGTGCTGAGACTGAGGCAGAAGGATTGCTGGAGCCCAGAAGTTGAGGCTGTGGTAGCCGTGATCATGCCACTGCACTTCTGCCTGGGTGACAGAATAAGATTCCAACTCAAAAATAAAACAAAATAAAAATAAAAAAGAATGTAGCCTAACATTAGAATGTTATAACATTTCTTCTAAACTTTTACTCTCAGTTTACATAAATTACTTTGTTTCAAACACATAATAAATAGTTCACAAACTGGCACTGGTCCTCAAACCACACTTTAAGTAGCACAGATTTTAAACATCCACCAAAAAACATTTATGTCCATTAAAAAATGATAAAAAGTTGAAATGTAATATAGAAAACACAAATTTAAATGAATTGTGAAGAAAATATCTTGTAGAATTAAAATGGAAATGAGATTCACTGCAGAAAATATTTTTTCATGAAAAAATCAACAAGGTTGACAATTACATTTCAAATATCTATCTCATAAACATGAAATGAAAATTACAACTGTGAGGTTAAGCTATTCCCCGTGACAAAATTACAACAAACATATTTATCCACTGTTTTCTGATTTGGGTGTTGGGTTTATTAGGAAACTTGTGTCTATGGGGAAAATCGAATACATTCAAATTCCAATGCATTACATGGACAATTCACAAAAGAATATATAATTTGACTATTTTTTACACTGTTTTAGAATTCTTTACTTACTTCTGATATCATGGGATATCACTGACTCTAAGAATTTTAAGAATTTCACACCTGGCAGGAAAAGATTTTCTCATTCTAATTTTTCCTTCTATAAGATGGCAATTAACTAGAAAAGTTGACTATTCCTTTAGAAATAGATCTAACAGTGTAACCAATAAACTGATTTGTTTTTTGGTAGAGACAAGGTCTTGCTACATTGCCCAGGCCACTTTTAAATTCCTGGGCTCAAGCAATCTTCCCAACTCAATCTCCCAAAATACTGGGATTACAGGTATGAAACCACTGCACCCGACCTGTAACCAATATATTGAAAGCAAAATGAACTGCAGTAAAATGGATGAGAAAAACAAAAACACGGGTGAATTCTTTAATATGTAAATCAACAAAGTTGCTTTGATCTATTAAAACACTGTTTAACAGCCCTATCAAAAACCTATCCATGATGACTAGTTCTGGTCATGACAAAATATTTTTTTTTTTGAGTTGGAGTCTCACTCTGTCGCCCAGACTGGAGTGCAGTGGCCGCCCCCAGCCACCGTAGCCTCCACCTGCTAGGCTCCAGCGATCCTTCCGCCTCAGCCTTCCAAGTAGCCGGAATTACAGGCATGCACTACCACGCCCGGCTGATTTTTTGATTTATTGTATAGATGAGGTCTCACTGCCCAGGCGGGTCTCGAACCCGCAGGCTCAGGCAATCCACTCACCTCAGCCTCCCAAAGGCGTGGGATTACAGGCTGAGCCACCGAGCCCGGCTGACAAAATATTTTTTATAACCTAACCTTCCTGCTGAAACAACTACAAAGTGACATAAGCGTAGAATAAATATATACAACAACAATCTGAGAGCAGTGGAGAGCAACTACTCTAGACAAGATGTAAGGAATGTGATCCTTGAGAGAAAGGAAGTACATGAGAAGAACTTAAGCTGAAAGCAGTAGTCTTGAATGCTTGGCTAAGAAGTCAGAGAGCTGAGGCTAGGCATGGTGGCTCACACCTGTAATCCCAGTACTCTGGGAGAATGAAGCAGGAGGATCCCTTGAACTCAGGAGTTTGAGGCTGCAGTGAACTATGATAATGCCACTACACTCCAGTTTGGGGTACAAAGTAAGACCCTGTCATTCATTCACTCATTCACACATACATACATACATACATACATACATACATACATACATACATACACACACACAAAAGAAGTCAGATATTTGCAGCAACCAAAGCAGAAAACACTGGGGGGGTAAACCCTGTAGAGGATTCCAAGGAAAAATGAGCCAAAAAACGTCTCTGTACAAATTCCTCTTCAAGCCGGGCGTGGTAGCTCACACCTGTAATCCCAGCACTTTGGGAGGCAGAGGTGAGGGGACTGCCTGAGCCCAGGAGTTCAAGACCAGCCTGGGCAACATGGCAAGGTCTCATCTCTACAACAAATATAAAAACCAGTAGGGCATGGTGGCATGCACCTGAAGTCCTGCTATTTGGAAGGCTGAGGCAGAAGGCTCGCCTGATCCCAGCAGGTCAAAGCTGCAGTAGTCATGCTCGTGCCACTGCACTCCAGCCTGGGTAAAAAAGAGTGAGGCTCCAACTCAAAAAAAAAAAAAGTTTAATGGATGTGTGGGCATGGTGGCTCACACCTCTAATCACAGCACTTAGGGAGAGTGAGATGGGAGGATTGCTTGAGCCCAAAAGTTTGAGATCAGCCTGGGCAATATAGCAAGAACTTCATCTCTACAAAAAGAATTTAAAAATTAGCTGGATGTGGTTGCACATGCCTGTAGTTCCAGCTACTTAGGAGACTGAGGTAGGAGGATCATCTGAGCCCAAGAGTTGGAGGCTCCAGTAAGCCGTGATTATGCCACTGCACTCCAGCATGGGTGACAGAGTAAGAACCTGACTCAAAAAATTAACACCCCACATATTTAAAAGTTTTTTTTTAAGTTTAAGGATAAAGAAAACATAAAATATTCAAACAAAATGATACACAGCAATGAAAATCAATAATCTATAAGGACATGCAACAATATAAATGAATTTCTTTTTTTGTTTGTTAGTTTCTCAGTAGGAGTCTCACTCTGTCGCCCAGGCTAGAGTGCAGTGGCACGCTCACGGCCACCACAGCCTTGACCTCCTCTGCTCAAGCAATCTTTCTGCCTCAGCCTTCCAAGTAGCTGGAACCACAGGGGTGCACCACCATGTTCGGTTAATTTTTTTTTTTAATTTATCGTAGAGACAAGTTCTCGCCTAGTTGCCCAGGCTGGTCTCAATCCGCTGGTCTCGAACCGCTGGGCTCAGGCAAGCCTCTTGCTGGGATTATAGGTGTGAGCCACCACACTCAGCTTATTTTGGATGAATTTCATAAACATAATGTTGGGTGAAAAAAGGCAGTCACAAATAGTATATACATATGACTTCGTATAAAAGACAAAACAAGTGAACCAGTATGTGCTGCTCGACATCAGGATACTGGGTGGAGAGTAATCACTGAAAGGGGGACAAGATGGACTTCTGGATACTGGTAATATTCTGTTTTGAATCTGGTTACATGGATGTATTCAATCTGTGAAAATTCACTGCTGGGCGTGGTGTCTCACACCTGTGATCCTAGCACTTTGAGAGGCAGAGGCGAGAGGATTGCCTGAGCCCATGGGTTCAAGACTAGCCTGGGCAACGTGGCAAGACCTTTTCTCTACAGATCAAAAAATCAGCCAGGCGTGGTGGCACAGGTCTATAGTTCCAGCTACTTGGAATGCTGAGGCAGAAGGATCACCTGAGCCCAGCAGGTTGAGGCTGCAGTGGCCATGAGTGTGCCACTGCACTCTAGTCTGGGTGACAGAGTGAGACTCTGACCCCCCGCCCCCAAAAAAAGAAAATTTGTTGAACTCAGGATATCAGAATATATGAAATTTTCTGCAGAGTATACTTCAGTAAAGAGGTTTTTTAAAAAATTAAACAGAAAAAAGCCTACCCATTGGAATAAAGAGTCCACCATCCTCTACCTCCTCCTCAAGTGGGTGAGCCAGAGTTCTGAGTGGCTTTTCTTGAGGGGAGGCACAAACATCTGGTTGGGATGATTTCCTCAGCTGGGTTCCCAGTTTTGCAGATTGGTTGCCCGAGGACACTGAAGACATCTCCCTTCCAGAATGCATCTGATGTTTCCCTGAAAGAATCACAAATACTGCTCCACATTGTGCCCATTCTCAAACATACTATTGTAGAAATCAGCACCAACATAGTCTTTTTAGTTAAACAGCTTCATAGATGAAGCATATACTATAAAAGCATTCCCCTTCTTAGAAATATCATCCTAAGAAAAATACCGAAGCCGGGCTCGGTGGCTCAGCCTGTAATCCCGCGCCTTTGGGAGGCTGAGGTGAGTGGATTGCCTGAGACCGCGGGTTTGCGACCCACCTGGGCAGTGAGACCTCCTGTCTACAATAAATAAAAAATTCAGCCGGGCGTGGTAGCACATGCCTGTAATTCCAGCTACTTGGAAGTCTGAGGTGGAAGGATTGCCGGAGCCCAGCAGGTCGAGGCTGCTGTGGCCGGGAGCAGCCACTGCACCAGTCTGGGTGACAGAGTGAGACTCCAACTCAAAAAAAAAAAAAAAAAAAGAAGGAAAAAGAAAAATACTGAAACCAAAGTTCAAATCCAGTTTATTCATCTCTAAAGTCAGGGAATGGAATGAGATAATTGCTAAGGTCCTTCTTACTCTAATGGCATTTTTTTTCCTATGAAAAAGTCAAATTCATAATTGTAGGGGGAAGGATCTGGATAACAAAAGAACATTTTATATAGATGACCATTAACATCACACAATAATCAACTATAAATAATATACACAAGGCCAGGCGTGGTGGCCCAAGTCTGTAATCCTAGCACTGTGGGAGGCTGAGGCAAGTTTGCCTGAGCCCAGAGGTTTGAGACCAGCCTGGGCAATATGGTGAGACCTTATCTCTACAATAAATCAATAAAGCATGGTTGGCTGAGGAGGATTACCAGAACCCAGCAGGTCAAGGATGTGGTGACCGTGAGCATGTCACTGCACTCCAGTCTGGGCAACAGAGTGAGACTCCAACTCAAAAAAAAAAAAATTAAAATAATATATGGCCAGGCTTGATGGCTCAGCCTGTAATCCCCGCACTCTGGGAGGCCAAGGCAAGTGGATTGCCTGAGCCTGCAGGTTCAAGATCAGCCCTGGCAACTTGGCAAGACCTCGTCTCTGCAACAGATCAAAAAATTAGCCAAGCATGGTAGCCTGTAGTTCTGGCTACTTAGAAGGCTGAGGTGTAGCCGGGCTTGGTGGCTCATCCTGTAATCTCGCGCCTTGGGAGGCTGAGGTGAGTGGATTGCCTGAGCCCGCGGGTTCGAGACCCGCCTGGGCAACTTGGTGAGACCTCATCTCTACAATAAATCAAAAACTTAGCCAGGTGTGGTAGCGCGCACCTATAGTTTCAGCTACTTGGAAGGCTGAGGCAGAAGGATCGCCGGAACCCAGCAGGTCGAGGCTGTGGTGGCCGGGAGCAGCCACTGCACTCCAGTTTGGGCGACAGAGTGAGACACCGACTCAAAAAAAAAAAAAGAAGGCTGAGGTGGAAAGATCGCTGGAGCCCAGCAGGTCAATGCTGGGGTGGCCGTGAGCGTGCCACTGTACTCCAGCCTGGGCGACGGAGTGAGAGTACAACTCAAAGAAAAAAAAAAAGACAAATAAATATTCAAAAGTAAACATCAGAAATCAGGCTTTCAGGGAAAAAACATACATACATAAAGGTTTGCAGATGCACAGAATGTCTCTGGAACATACAAAAAATTGTTAAGGGGTGATGTGGAAATGGGAATTGGGGAGCAAAAGGACAGAATGAAAAGGTGCCTAAATTTTCACTGTGCACTTTCTTTTCTTCGTTTTTTCCATATTTGTGTATTACCTAGTTGAAAGAGACTAAGTTGTTTGTCACTAAGCTCCATTAAAAACAGATAGCTTTTATAATTTAAAAAAAAACAGGGTCTTACTTTGTTGCTCAGGCTAGAGTGCAGAACCATGATCATAGCTCACTGTAGCCTTAAACTCCCAGGCTCAAGCCATCCTCCCATCTTAGCCACCTGAGCAGCTAGGTCTACAGGAGTGTGCTACCACGCCCAGCTAATTTTCTAAAAAGTTTTTTGGCCAGGCTCAGTGGCTCGGCCTGTAATCACAGCACTTTGGGAGGCTAAGTCGAGTGGATTGCCTGAGCCCACAGGTTCGAGACCCATCCAGGCAACTTGGCGAGACCTCATCTCTACAATAATCAAAAATTAACCAGGCATGGTAGCACGCGCTTGTAGTTCTGTCTACTTGGAAGACTGAGGCAGAAGGATCACTGGAGCCCAGTAGGTCAAGGCTGCGGTGGCCGGGAGCGTGCCTCTGCACTCCAGTCTGGGCGACAGAGTGAGACTTCAACTCAAAAAAAAAAAAGTTTTGTGTAGACATGATCTCACTATGCTGCACACCCTGGTCTCAAGGGGATCCTCCAACCTTGGCCTCTCAAAACACTAGGATTAGATGTAAACCACCATGCCTAGTCAGCTCTTATACTTTTTTACATTGCTATCTCATCAACGTTCGTAGTTTCAACTGATGTAAACATACTTTTAAACTAGATGGCCCCTCCCCTCCAAAAAAGAAAAAAACCTTTGTTTTACAATAATGAGTCAATCCTTAATAATCTCAATCTTGGTTGGGCTCAATGGCTCATACCTGTAATCCCAGCACTTTGGGAGGTGGAGGAGAGAGGATTACCTAGGCTCAGAGATTCAAAACCAGCCTGAACAACATGGTGAGACCTTGTCTCTACAAAACATCAAAAACTTAGCCAGTGTGGTGGTACATGCTTGTGGTTCCTGGTACTTCAAAGAGTGAGGCGGAAGGACAGTCTGAGCCCAGCAGGTCGAGGCAGCGGTGGCTGTGAGCATACCACTACACTCCAGCCTGGGCAACAGAATGAGACTCCTGACTCAAAAAAATATATATATGTATCAATCTTACTTCCTTTACTTCTGTAGCCTATGATTACACAGTATCAAAAAGCCTAAAGGCTTTGGTTTTAATAGTGACTGTACAGTTGTACAGCAAGGTGATGAATCCTAAATTCATCAAATCAGAAGTTCCTCTCAGCCAAATTTCCTACATAAGAGGAATCAATACCGAAGCATAGTTTTCTCATTTAACTGACAATCTTTCACAATTTTTTTTTTTTGAGTTGGAGTCTCACTCTGTGGCCCAGACTGGAGTGCAGTGGCACGCTCCCGGCCACCGCAGCCTCAACCTGCTGGGCTCCGGCAATCCTTCCACATCAGCCTTCCAAGGAGCCAGAATTACAGATATACGCTATCTCGCCCAGCTAATTTTTTGATTTATTGTAAAGACGAGGTCTCGCCAAGTTGCCCGGATGGGTCTCAAACTCACAGGCTCAGGCAATCCACTCGCCTCAGTCTCCCAAAGTGCTGAGATTATAGGATGAGCTACCAAGCCCAGCCCACAATTTTTACAATCAATGACATCTACCTTTAAGTGACACAAATAACTTTTTTTAAAAAACATACCAGAACCTTCAAATCTAAGCAAGTACTGTCCTTCAAAATAGAGGCTCACCCTGGTAGGCACAGCTTCTTGCACTGATCCTCTTAATACCTAAGCATTTTTGGCTCTACCTCTTTAAAGCTGTCCCGGTAGCTTGTCAGCAGCACCACAAAATCATTTTTCACAATCTATATAGAGAAAATACTTTTTTTTACAGCCTTTTCCCCCCTCTGATTTTATCACATTGCTTTTCAATTTAATTCCTCTCCCTAGAATCCCTTATGTTCTCACCCATCCTTTCCTTTATAGATGTACTAGATGCATCGCTTCTCGGCCTTTTGGCTAAGATCAAGTGTATAGATATACTAGACGCAGAAAGACCTCAGAAGGAGAAGCTGAGTAGGATAAGGAATATAGAAAAAGAAAAACCTGGTCGGGCATGGTTGCTCATGCCTCCAATCCAGCACTTTGGGAGGCTGGGGAGAGAGGACTGCTTGAGCCCAGGAGTATGAGATTAGCCTAGGCAACATAATGAGACCTCAACTCCACAAAAATTTTAAAAATTAGCAGGGCTTTGTGGCATGTACCTATAATTCCAGCTACTTGGGGTAGGGAGGCGAGGCAGGAAGACTACTTGAGACTAAGAGTTTGAGGCTGCTGTAAGCCGTGATTGTGCTATTACACAAAAACCTTATTCAGAGTACATTTACAACTTGTTTATTACAAGCCTAAGAACTGTAAATTAATAACATGAAGATAATTAACTGAGAACTGTACAAATAAACTAATTATAAGATGAAATCTGTCTATGCTAATCACTTTTAGGAGGCAAAGAAAGAAAAAGAGCATAAGCAGAAATTAGGGTATGTAAATCAGCCAAGTACAATGGCTCATGCCTGTAATCCCAGTACTTTGGGAGGCTAAAGCAAGAGGACTACCTGAACCCAGAAGTTTGAGACCAGCCTAGGCAACTTGGCAAGACCTCGTCTCTACAGTAAATTTTTAAAATTTATTTAGCGAGGCTCGATGGCTCAGCCTATAATCCCGCGCCTTTGGGAGGCTGAGGTGAGTGGATTGCCGCAGGTTTGAGACCCACCTGGGCAACTTGGCAAGACCTCATCTCTACAATAAATCAAAAATTAGCTGGGCGTGGTAGGGCACACCTGTAGTTCCAGCTACTTGGAAGGCTGAGGCAGAAGGATCGCTGGAGCCCAGCAGGTCGAGGCTGCGGTTGCCGGGAGCGGCCACTGCAATCCAATCTGGGCGACAGAGTGAGACTACAACTAAAAAAAAAGAAACCTTATCTCTGAAAATAAAAATTTAAAAATTAGCTGGGTGTGGTGGTGCATGCCTATAGTCTCAGCTACTTGGGAGGCTAAGGCAGAGGGATCACCTGAGCCCAGGTGGTCAAGGCAGTGGTGAACAGTGATCATGCTACTGCACTCCAGCCTAGGCGACAAAGTGAAATCGCAACTCAAAAATAAAAAGAATTTCTAATAAATATTTATCCAATTTATGTATCAACAATGTGCAGTACAATATACTGTCTTGTTTTACTTTATATTTTTATGTGATCAAAAGTCAAGTCTATATAGTTAGCAAAATGGCACAAGCTATTTACCCTTTTTTATTCACCCAAGAAATTATCAGGCCAGGCTCGATGGCTCAGCCTGTAATCCCAGCACTTTGGGAGGCCGAGGCGAGTGGATTGCCTGAGCCGTGGGTTCGAGACCCACCTGGGCAACTTGGCAAGACCTTGTCTCTACAACAAATAAAAAATTAGCCAGACATGGTAGCACGCGTCTGTAGTTCCAGCTACTTGGAAGGCTGAGGTGGAAGGATAGCCAGAGTCCAGCAGGGCGAGGCTGCAGTGGCTGGGAGCATGCTACTGCACTCCAGTCTGGGCGACAGACTGAGACTCCAACTCAAAAAAAAAATTATCTTGAAGAATAAACCCGCCTGGGCAACTTGGTGAGACCTCATCTCTACAATAAATCAAAAAATCAGCTGGGCATGGTAGCGCATGCCTGTAATTCTGGCTACTCGGAAGGCTGAGGTGGAAGGATCGCCGGAGCCCAGCAGGGCGAGGCTGTGGTGGCCAGGAGCGGCCACTGCACTCCAGTCTGGGTGACAGAGTGAGACTCCAATTAAAAAAAAAAAAAAAGAGTAACAGTGTAATAATTTGCAACTCATAAAAAACAAACCTGCTATTCCTGTCTACATTTCCACATAAAAACAGAGATGTCCCAAAACCAACACAACAATACAGGCTATTCCGACAGAGGCTGAAACCATAGAGTTGTGTTATGACAAGGGTTGAGATCAGGAGCACTTTTCCCCAAAAGAGCTTTCATCTTTGACAATGTTTTTCAAACTCATGCACTACTTTCTCAGTTTTCAAACACAGTGGCATTAGAAACATGAAATGCAGTGTAAACACACAATACACAATGTCAGTATCAGCATAGTATATTAACAGTAGAGGCCAGGCTAGGTGGCTCAGACTGTAATCCCAGCACTTTGGGAGGCCGAGGTGAGAGGATTGCCTGAGCCCACGGGTTCGAGACCCGCCCAGGAAACTTGGCGAGACCTCATCTCTACAATAAATCAAAAAATTAGCCAGGCATGGTAGCGCACGCCTATAGTTCTGGTTACTTGGAAGGAGGAAGGATCACCTGAGCCCAGCAGGTCAACGCTGGGGTAGCCGTGAGCATACCACTGCACTACAGTCTGGGCGATGGAGTGAGACTCCAACTCAGAAAAGACAAAAAAAATCCACCAGGTATAGTAGCACACACCTGTGGTTCCAGTTACTTGGAAGAATGAGGCGGAAGGATCACCTGAGCCCAGCAGATCAAGACTGAGGTAGCTGTGAGCGTGCCACTGCACTTCAGCCTTATTTTATATTCATATAAATATAAAATAAAATGACTATCATGGTTGGGTACAGTGGCTTATGCCTGTGATCCCAGCACTTTGGGAGGCCGAGGAGGATGACTTGAGCCTAGTAGTTCAAGACCACCCTAAGTAACACAGGAGACCTCGTCCCCATACACACACACACACACACACACACACACACAATCATTTAAAAAAAAAATTTGCAGCTGGGCTCAGTGGCTCAGCCTGTAATCCCACGCCTTTGGGAGGCTGAGTTGAGTGGATTGCCTGAGTCTGCGGGTTCGAGACCCGCCTGGGCAGCGAGACCTCATCTCTACAATAAATCAAAAAATCAGCCGGGCGTGGTAGCGCATGCCTATAATTCCAGCTACTCGGAAGGCTGAGGCAGAAGAATCGCCGGAGCCCAGCAGGTCGAGGCTGCGGTGGCCAGGAGCGGCCACTGCACTCCAGTCTGGGAGACAGAGTGAGACTCCAACTCAAAAAAAAAAAAAAAAAAAATTTGCAAGTTCGAGACCCACCTGGGCAACTTGGCGAGACCTCATCTCGACAATAAAATAAAAAATGAGCCGTGCCTGGTAGCGCACGCCTGTAGTTCCAGCTACTTGAAAGGCTGAGGTGGAAGGATCGCTGGAACCCAGCAGGTCGAGGCTGCGATGGCCGAGAGCGGCCACTGCACTCCAGCCTGGGGGACAGAGTGAGACTCCAACTCAAAAAAAAAAAAAAAAAAATTTAAGGCTAGGCACAGTGGCTCATGCCTATAATCACAGGAATTTGGAATTCAGAGGCAAGAGGACTGCCTAAGTCCTGGGGTTCAAGACTAGCCTGGGCATCTTGGCAAGACCTCATCTCTACAATAAATCAAAAACTTAGCCGGGTATGGTGGCGCGCACCTATGGTTCCAGCTACTTGGAAGGCTGAAGCAGTAGGATCACCTGAGCCCAACAAGTCAAGGCTGCAGTGGCGGTGAGCGTGCCACTGCACTCCAGCCTGGGTCACAGAGTGAGACTCCTACTCAAAAAAAAAAAAAAATTAGCCAGGAGTGGTGCTGTGTGCCTGTAGTCCAAGCTACTTGGGAAGCTGAGGCAGTAGGATCACCTGAGTCCAAGAAGTCAAGGCTGCAGTAAGCTGTGATTGTGCCACTGCCCTCTAGCAAGAGCAACAGAATTGGACCCCAACTCAAAAAAAAAAAAAAAAAAAAAATGAGTATCACCTAATGACAGGAAAAGTTCAAAACCTTAGCACTAAAACAAAACCCTTCACAACCCAAGCACTATCTACCACTCTGAAGTCATCTCCCACCACTTCTTTCAAGCAACTATATCACCATCCTCTTCTGCCTATGTACCGCAGTGTAGACTGTTCTGGGTGTAGATGCCCACCTCTGTCAAACTGCAACTCATCCTTCAAGTCCAAAGGGTTATCATCTCTGTAAAGCCTTTCCCAATGCCCCAAGCAGGAGTCTCTCCCTTTAGGCTGCTGAAAATCACAAAAGACCATACATCTCTCTAGATGTGCAGAATAAAGGATGAGAGAACGGAAAGTAAGGGACATAGAAGAGGATCTAGGGAATGGAGGGGGAAAGTATCTACCCATTAATAAAGTTCAGTGCTGATCCCTACAAGCACAGCGGTTCCAATATATACCAAATCAGTATCCCTTTTCAGAAATTCTACTCTGTGAAGGCAGCACAGAGAAAGCAGTGGCAAGGTGGTACCAACAAAGAAAAGGCAGCAGAGACCTCTTACCTCCTTCTTCCTTTTCTTCACTAGGCTCTCCTGAAAAAGGATCCTTTATGATAGAATGGTCACCTCTGTCTTCTTGGGCTATCTGCCCAGGCCTAAGTGCAGTTTTCTTCCCTCTCCTTGAGCCCGTGGCCTGAAGCTTTCCTTTACCAGTGTGTATATTAAGGAGGTGTGACGACTCCAAGGAAGATAGGGTGATTCCCTGAGAGACGGCCACATCAACAGCATCTAGAATTGGTACATTTGTGTCCTGGTTGAGCATCCCAGATCTCAAAGATACATCCTCCATAAGAAGCTGACTTCCTGCATCCTGAACAGACTGTACTTCAAAGCCAGCTACTCTGCCATGACTCGGACCCCAGGACAATGACACTGACCCCAAGTCTTTAACCAGGTCAGATTCTTGTTTAATAGCTGATTCCAGGCCTATGTTGTCTTCATCCTGGTTGCTCTTATGCTGTGGGGACTCTGTCACTGTAGTTCTTCTCTTCTTACAAGGCAACATTTTAGAAATCCCACTTCCGTTCCATCCTGGAAGGATAAAAGCAAGTTCTTATCACTTTTATATTAATTAATGGTAATAACATTTGTTCAATTATCTTTTCATTTATTCATGTTCCATCATGAACACAATACTTCACACCAAATGCACAATCCCCCTTTAAGGAGAAGATGAGAGACGATAGTTAGAGTGACCAAGTTCAAATTCTAACTCTACTACTGACTAGTATGCTACCTTGGCCAAGTGACTTAACCTCTCTAAGTTTCCGTCTCCTCTACTGTAAAAATTAGTAACTGCTCTTACCTCATGGAGTTGTTACAAAAATTAAATACTAAGTGATTAATAAGTGTTATTATTATTACTACCATCAGGGATGTAGACTAGCATGATGCTGAGAGCAAACTGTGGATTCAAACTGTCTGGATCTGTTTCCCAAGTCAGCTTCTCTTCAGCTTTATGACCTTGCATAAGTTACTCAAACTGAATCTCAGTTTCTTCAGCTATAAAATGAAATATAATAGCACCTACATCATTACATAGTCAGTGATCAATAAATGTTTGCTACTGTTATTTCCATAAACAGGCATTTCCATTAATAGAAACAATTCAGAAGTAAAGTGTGGTTGTTTTACAAGATTAGGCTATGCAGGGCACGGTGGCTCAGCCTGTAATCCCAGCACTCTGGGAGGTTGAGGTGAGAGGACTGCCTGAGCCCGGGGATTTGAGACCAGCCTGGACAACTTGGTGAGACCTCATCTCTACAATAAATCACAAAACACTAGCCAGGTGTAGTGGCATGCATCTGTAGTTCCAGCTACTTGGAAGGCTGAGGTGGAAAGATCACCTAAGCCCAGCAGGTTGAGGCTGTGGTGGCCCTGAGTGTGCCACTGCACTCCAGCCTGAGCAACAAAGAGTGAGATTCCAACTCAAAAATAAATAAATAAATAAATAAAAGATTAGGCTATATTAACAGAAATTTTATGCTGAAACAAGGGAGAGGAGGTTCCTATTGCTCTCTGTACTGTTCTTTCTTGACACTTGGCTTCAATTCTAGTTATCACATTTATTTTATTATTATTATTTTTTAATTTGTAGTCTTACTCTGTTGCCCATGCTGGAGTACCGTGGCATGCTCAACCGGCTGGGTTCAGGTGATCTTCCCACCTTAGCCTTCCAAGTAGCTGAAACCACAGGTGTGAGCCACCACATCCAGTTAATTTTTTTTTTTTTGTATTGTAGAGATGAGGTCTCACCAAGTTTCCCAGGCTGGTCTGAACCCCTGGGCTCAGGCAATTCTCTCACCTTGGCCTCCCAAAGTGCTGGGATTACAGGCTTGCGCCACCACGCCTGGATTTTTTTTTTTTTTTTTTGAGAGACATGGTCTCACCAAGTTGCCCAGGCTGGTCATGAACCCCTGGACTCAGGCAATCCTCTCGCCTCCACCTCCCAAAGTACTGGAATTACAAGCATGAGCCACCACACCCATCCAACCCTAGTTATCATATTTTAAGAACAATACTGACCCTAAGCTGAGGGTATATTCTTTTAGCAACTGTTTGTAAACCTCTTTTATAGCACTTCTTTTGTCATTGTCTCTTTTCTGTCTTCATCTCATCTCCATCTTCTAAAACTATAAACTTTTTGAGAAAAAGAACTCTTTCAACTAGTATCTCTAATATCCAGCAGTATCTGGGTATTTTGTTTTTTTTTCAGATAGGGTTTCACTCTTTGCCCTGGCTGGGGTGCAAGAGCACAATCATAGCTCACTGCAGCCTCAAACTCCTGGCCTCAAGCTATCCTCCTGCCTCAGCCTCCGGAGTTGCTGGGGTTACAGGCACAAGTCACTGCACCTGGCTCAGTATCTGTGTATTACAGATACTCAATGTGTCACTGAGTTTTGCAGATACTCAATAAATGCTCCCTGAATAATGAGTGAACGAAAGAGGGCTTCAACATTTTATTCTGTTCATCAACTGGTCCAAGTGTCAAGCATAATAAGGAAACTGATTGCATCTTACTATCTAAGAAAACTTAACTACCATAAATAGGTCCAAGAATAAAATAAGCTGCCTTATGTTATATTACAGGCGATGTTCAAGCAAAGTCTGAATGCACACCTATCAGGGTACTACAGCTTGAACTATAGAACTGAAAAATAAAAGTTCTTTCTGAGAGTCTCATCTATCAGGTTGGTTTTAAACCTCCCTAATTCAGTTTCTCTAGGACATTAGGAAAGATTTCCTATCCCCCTAATCAACTGATGCCCTCATCTTGGTAATTAAATCTTAATAACACTCGAAGGTTCCGCTGATTCCTGTGAGAGAGGGTGCAGAGTGGATAAGGAGCGAAATGGGAGTAGCCCAGGTGACTCCTTTATTTCACAGACGAATTACTGAGGTCTAGAAAAAAAAAAAAAAATCCAGCTACTATTCAAAGCCAGGCACCTCAGACACAGCAGTAGCTCAAAGAGGCCGCTACTCTGGGAGCCCGAGTCGGACCCACAGGGTGAATGAATGCCAATCCGGAGGCGGCCCCTGCGCGGCCTCCTCTGTGGAAAACATTGCAAAAGGGGTCCTAACTGCGCCTTCCACCTTGGCGCTGGCCCATGTTCGCATTCCCAAGTAGACACCTTCGCACCCCTAACTTCCGTCACCACCCAGCGCCCACTCTCAGACCTGACCCCCTTAGCTCGGACATCCTTTGCCCACGTGCCCCAGCTCCCACCTGCCTCCTCCCGCCCCACCGCACACGACCCAGTACCCTCACAAGCCGGCCTGATCCCGCGGAAACACGGCTTTGGCACCACCGGAAGTCAGCCGACGGCAGCCAATGACGTGCGCGCCCCCGAGTCGCGGGCGCCGCGCCCCAGTACGACAAAGAGCATGCGCAGAATACTAGGCGCCATCCTATCTTAGGGCCGAATGAAGCCACAGGGCTAGTATACCAGCGATTGGCAAAAAAAATTTAAAGGCACCACTTCGCGTTCTCCGTCCATAAAGCTATCCTCCTCAAAACAAAACTAGGGCTTGAGAGTCACTGGTTTAGATTGACAACCGGTCTTTATCGCCACGAGACACTTGGAACACAGGACCAAGGAAATGAATTCATAAAATTTCAGAAAACTGGTTTACAATTAGTGCAGGTTCCTGAATAAAACTAAGGCAGCCTTAAACTCAAGCTATAGTAATTACTCATACAGGTACAATATTCTGCATTTTACAAAATGCACTCACATTATCTTAGGTGATTTGGTCTCCACAATAATCCTGTGGGACAATGGATATTATTATATTATTAGCCAGTTTGCACAGGACAAAGTTCTGGCTCAGCTAAGCAGGTGATTTCATACAGGTACATAGCTATCAAGTTAGGTATCAGGTATCCTCATTCTAGCTTCTAATGCATTGAACCAGTGCCCAGGAAGGTGCCTGGGGCTTAGTCGATGCTTAATAATTCTATACATTTTTAGAAATGAATTAATGAATGAATGACTCCTAGGACCATGTTTTTGTTTTTTGTTTTTTGGGTTTTTTTGAGTTGGAGTCTCCCTCGGTCGCCCAGACTGGAGTGCAGTGGCCGGTCCCGGCCACCGCAGCCTCGCCTGCTGGGCTCCGGCAATCCTTCCGCCTCAGCCCTCCGAGTAGCCGGAATTACAAGCATGCGCTACCATGCCCGGCTGATTTTTTGATTTATTATAGAGATGAGGTCTCGCTGCCCAGGCGGGTCTCGAACCTGCGGGCTCAGGCAATCCACTCACCTCAGCCTCCCAAAGGCGCAGGATTACAGGCTGAGCCACCGAGCCCGGCTTAACTCCCTTATTTTACAGGTAAACGACCAACAAAAATTTATGCATTTGAACTAATCCTGTCTGTAAACAGAAATCCGACATCCAAAATGAAGGATGAAATTGATGCTATAATCGCCAGTAGTCTGCCTCTAACCTGAATCACACTCACTCTCTCTCCCAAATGCAAAGAAAGACTCCAGAAGCTCAGGATTTCATTTGACCTACAAAATACATAGATCTTTTGGATTGGCCTGCCTTCTCTCTCCCTCTCTCTCTCTCCTATGAAACCTTAAGTACCTGAGACTCATGGAAAAGAAATACTCAGCACTGATTAACATTGGCAATTTTCATTAGGCTTAAAAAAAAAAAATTACGAAATTTAAATTTTAAAAAATACAAACCACGAAATTTATGTTTTGCATGTACAATCAAATAATTTTTTTGTAAATTTTCAGAGTTGTGCAACCATCCCCAGATCTGGTCTTTAATCAGAGTTTCCGAGGTTGAAGAAAGTTTCCATAATAATCTTTAGCGGTCTTAGAAATGCATAACAACAATAATGGCAATCGATATTGAAATTTTGTTTTTCCAAAATTCTGGAATCCAGAACCCAGAACATTTTGCTGCTTTATTAAGCCCAGGAAGCCACAATCGCGGAGTCTATAGAATTTCATGGAATAATCTACCTACACTTCTCATTCCTGGACACTCTTTAGACCCACTGCCCGTCAGTGGGCGGGGCCTCATTCTCGGGAAATCTCGGCGGTGAGAGGAGTCCCCTCCCGGAGATCTTCCGGAAAGGGGCGGGGCCTGCCCTCCGGAACATTTCGGAGAGAGGCGGAGTATTCTTCCGAGAGCCATTCGGAAGAAGGCGGAGCCTACCTCCCATCAGGACCAGTCTGACTGCACCTGCATCCTTAGCTCAGCGCATCCCTGGAGCATCTTAAGAGGCGAGCGCAGCTGGCACCCAGGGGCCCGACCGTCGCAGGAGGCGTCCGCCGGATACCTTCCCCCGTCCCTGACGTAGAGCTCTACAGCGGCGGCCTCCGTACGGACTGGGGGTTCCCAGAGTTGTCTGACCATTGCAAAAACGTTTATAGCAACAGCCTCTGATTACGACATGGCTGAGATCACCAACATCCGACCTAGCTTTGGTAAGTAGAGTCGGGTAAACTAAGCTCTAGGTGGTCGGAACCGTTGCAAAGTCAGTGGGCCCAACAGCTGGGCAGAAAATGCAGCCCAGACCAGAGCCTTCAAAGTGCCAGCCACGCTAGAATTGGGCCTGCGGTGGTGGGAAGCGGGCAGTGGACAGTGCCCGAACTTGAGCTATGGGCTACAGGGGCCAGCAAGGCCAGAGCCACACCGAGGGTGGGGAAGTTCAGGATGCTAAAACCTTGTATGGTGCCCTGTCAGCACTGCTGGAGGTGAGAAACAGCTAGCATGCGGAGGACGTGAACCCCTCCTTCTGGGGGAGGAGAGGTGGGGTAGGCCGAGCCCTCCCCCTTGGGGCACGCAGGGCGGTGCCCCTTCCTCCCCCTCCCACTCCTATGGGCTGCGGGGGAGGGAGGTGACAAGGGGGATGGGGCATCAAGATGGCAGCTTGGAGACTGGGCCGTGTGGCTGGCAGCCAGGGGAGGCGGCGGCCTCTGGGGAAAGAGAGGTGCGGGGGTGGGGAGCAAAAAGGAAGCCACTCCTTAAGCCAGTCAGCTAGATGCTGGGGCAGGAGGAAACGTGAGCCCTGCAAACTCCATTCTGCATCGTAATGGTGGGGTCCGTCCGATGCTACCAAATGGCGCTGGCGCTGCTGGGCTGGGGGATGACGTGATGTCTATTTCTGGCCTCCTGGCAGCGCTGAGGCTCTCCTTCCGGGGCCTTTGTTCCCGGTTTCCCTGGGCAGGCTTTTCAAAAAGGGGGACTCACCCGCGCTGGTGCCAGCGGGGGAGTGATCTAGGCCGGAGGGGGAGGGGCGAGAGAGGCCCAGCCCGGGGGAGGCCGCTTTGTGTACCAGAGAAAGCATTACGTCATCTCGGAGCGGCTGGTCCCCGACCCGGCCCTGTGGGCTCCCAGATTAGTCTTACGCTCCCTGGGACAGAAAGTGGTGTGGAAAATGGGAAGGAAGATGGGAAAGATAAGCTTGAGAAGGAAGTTTTTTCCTCTTTGGTGACTCTTCCCAAATGTGCGAGGGGAGCAAACTTCCTGTGCTGCGCTTTCCTGGTCAAATAAATAAGTAAAATATAATTGCACTGCTTCTCCCTTGATTCCACTAGTTTAGATGGAGAAAGCCAGTGAGAGTTGCTGCCAGCCTAAGAACATTTTTATTCTTTAAGGGATTCCCTAATTATAGATATTATATCTAAGAGGTATATTGAAATAAGTCCAATGTGCTCGATATAAGGAAGCAGGCATGGAATCAGGAAAAATATTCAGATAGCAGATCTTCACACCCCTCACAGCTTGCTCCCCAAGGCTAAGTCTTGACTGTATTTTCTCTTCCACTTCACCTTCTGCATCTCTATCCCTTGAGTTCTGTTTCCAAAATAAAAGTCCCCTTTGTGATCATGAGCAACCCATGATTTTCTTCCTGCTCTTTCTTTTTCATCTTATGCCTTTCCAACAGATTCCTTTCTCTAATTGTAGTTCCAGAGTCCTTAAAAAAGTAAATGGTGCAGAACATGATATAGTGATTTTCTTTAGAGGGACTACTACTGGAAAAAGGAAAAGAAACTGTATCAGCCTCTTACATGCTACATTTCATTTAATTCTAACAATACCCTTCAGAGTAGGTGTTGTTATATATACTTGCCAGATGAGGAAACTGAGGCTCAGGGAGATTAAAAAAAATAATAACTTGGCTAAAGTCATACAAACTAGTGAGGGTAGTTCTAGGATTTAAACCAGTAAAAGTTCATTCTCATTACCCTGTGTTACATGACCTGCTTGACACTGAAGACTATGTTTAGGAAAGAAAGTGTCAATAAGCAGTTCTGGTCAGAAACTGAGAGAGTTGGGCAGATGTGTCTTACAGGTCCCTAGACCATTACGGAGGGTCTTCTCCATAGAGAACTGCCACTTCTTACTTTTCCACATCTCATAGAGTACTTCATTTCAAATGCTACAGCACGAGGGAGACACACCAAACCAACACTCACTCATCCATGACTGCAGAGGACAGAAGGAGCAAGAAGCACAGGTCACTGCAATTAACAGCTGCTTTATTTTATTATTTATTTTTTGAAAGCAAGAATTATTGAGAGTACAGAAAAGCTCTCACAGTGAAAGGGGACCCAAAGAGGTTGCCCTATAGCTGCTTTAAAACATTCATTTCACCCATTCGTTCCAACTTCCTGTTCCCACCAACCTTTTGACTAATGCAAGATGGAGAACTCTGAGTTTCAACATCTCTGATTTTCCTAGTACTCCGTCTTGGGTGTCAGGGAGAGAAGCAGGAGTTAGCAAATACTGACATGAGGAAGAAAGTAGAGCAAAAGGAGGAAACAAGGTGGAGAGTACCTAGATAGGCCACAAATGGATCCGTTTCTCTTCCTTCTTTATCCTCCTGAAAGATGAAAATTCTTCATTGTAAACAGCAGAGATTTTTCAAGATCACTGAGTAAATCTATGGTAGAGCCAAAAGGATGCCCAGAGGTCTCCCTTTGCAATCATTCTCAAAAATAGACCTGTCTTGGTAGTTTCCAGCATTCCTCTTGTTTTTTGTTTTTTTTTTTTTGAGTCGGAGTCTCATTCTGTCGCCCAGACTGGAGTGCAGTGGCCGCTCCCGGTCACCGCAGCCTCTACCTGCTGGGCCCCGGTGATCCTTCCGCCTCAGCCTTCCAAGTAGCTGGAACTACAGGTGCGTGCTACCACGCCTGGCTAATTTTTTGATTTATTGTAGAGATGAGGTCTCGCCAAGTTGCCCGGGCGGGTCTCGAACCCGCCGGCTCAGGCAATCCATTCACCTCAGCCTCCCAAAGCGCAAGATTACAGGCTGAGCCACCGAGCCCGGCTTCCTCTTCTTATAGAGACAATAATTGTTCAGTCACAGCAATTTGCAGGAAAGCCCCTGACTGGTGAATAGAGAGCCACTTCTTTAGGCCAGGCATGGTGGCTCATGCCTGTAACCCTAGCACTTTGGGAGGCTGAGGCAGGAGGATTGCTTGAGCCCAGGAGTTTGAGCCCAACCTGGGCAGCATAGCAACACCTTGTCTCTACCAAAAAAAGAGAGAGAGAGTGTCACTTCTTTAGACTCTGTGCATTCTGATAGACAATTGAATTCAGTGTTTTTAACAAGTATCTATTGAGCACCTGTTAGATGCAAGAGACTCTGAGGGATTCAGAGATGAACAGGATGTCGTTCCTGCCTGTCCTCAAGGAGCTTACCACCAAGGCTGCCTCCATTTTACGAAACTCTCCCTAAAAACTTTTATTCTGTTTAATACTTAGAGACTAAATGTTGTTATTATTCAATATGGATATGGACATGGTCGCCTTGATTTATTTTGTTAATAATGGTTTTACCCCTTATCTTTATTATTGTAAAATGTAATCTCTTCTTTTCTTATCTGGTCCTAACTTTCTTAGGACCATGGAATATTGAGGTAGAAAGAACTTCAGAGACATCTAGTCTTCGATGAAGAAATCCCTTTTAGAATTTGCCTGACCAGAGCCAGGCATAGTGGGTTCACACCTAAAATCCCAGCACTTTGGTAGGCCAAGGTGGGAGGATTACTTGAGCTTGGGAGTTCAAGACCACCCTGGGCAACATAATAAGACCTCATCTCTACCAAAAAAAAAAAGTTTTTATTTAAAAAAAGAATATGCCTGACCAATGGTGATCTGACCTCTGTTTAAAATTTTCAGTGGGAGAATTTCTGCCTCATAAAGCAACCTAGGACATTGACTCTTTTCATTGAGTCAAAATCTGTTTTCCACCGGACACTACAACTCATACCTATAATCCCAGCACTTTGGGAGGTGGAGGCCAGAGGATTGTCTGAGTCCAGGGGTTCAAGACCAGCCTGGGCAACTTGGCAAGACCGTGTCTCTACATTAAATCAAGAAAAAAGCTGGGCTCGGTGGCTCAGTCTGTAATCCCGCGCTTTGGGAGGCTGAGGTAAGTGAATTGCCTGAGCCCACGGGTTCGAGACCTGCCTGGGCA